ATCCAGGTTGATGGAATTGATTTTGTTATTGCTCCCCAAGGCATAAACTTATAGTGGGGGTGCTGGACATAAATAAATGCTTTAGGCAGTTTAGCTGGAAGTCTGGATCCTCACTTTTCCCCTTTTCCCTCCTCTGTCTCCATTCCTCTCTCCTGCCTGGCACTGTAATGACTCAGAGGGGTTTGTATCTATTTCCACGTGGCTGCCTTGGAGATCTTTTTCAGCCAACTTCCCTTTGGACTATCTACAAACATTAAAAGATGTTTGAAATTACTCAACCTCAACGGTGCTTGAAATTGAGCCACGTTCTGTTGTGTCAACACAGTGAGTGCTTCAAGTGCTGGTTGTGGAGGCACAATAAAGGTTTCCAGCTCTGGTGCTGCCCACAAAACTCCTTTATTAAGTGATGTTTCCCCACCTGGGAGCTTAAATGTGCTGCTCTGGTTGCTTGTTTGTCCATCTTGCTTTATTTTATTTGCATTCTGAGATCAATGAACAGCTTGAAACAGTCCCTTCAAGACCTGCTGCAAGATTTCCAACCCCCTGCCACGGGCAGGGACACCTTCCACTGTCCCAGATTGTTCCAAGCCCCATCCAGCCTGGCCTTGGACACTTCCAGGGATGGGGCAGCCACAGCAACCTGTGCCAGGGCCTTCCCACCCCCACAGGGAGGGATTTCTTCCCAGTATCTCATCTAACCAAGTTTGACCTGGGCTAGTGGAAGGTGTCCCAGCCCGTGGAATGGGGGTTGAAACTGGATGAGCTTTAATGTTCCTTCCCAGCCAAACCACTCTAAGATGTGTCTATAATCTTGCTGACTGATAGGCTGGTTCTGTCTGGGTAATGAGGACAGGTAAATTTACTGTCTTAATTTTGAGAGTGATGTACTTCAGTGTGTACAGCACAGTCCCTCAGCTTTTCTTGCCTCAGGATTTCTTTCCTTCACAGCTTTGATATTTTTCAGTAAATATCTGCTTAGAGCCCACTGTAATCTGATGTCTAAAGGCATCTTTTAAGTAAAAATGAGAGTTGAGTTTATTTTTGAGGTCAGGCAGTGGCTGTGTGTTCAGTGAGCTCTGCTGATGTTGGATCAGACGGTGAAAAAAATCCTCTCTCTGCTGGTTCCACCTCCCAGCGAAAGCAGCAGATTTCCCTCTGAGGTCAAATTAAGGAAACTACTTAAAAGACCTCTGATTTCACAGTAAAGTCCTGTGGTAGTGTTGGAGCTGTAGAGGGGAGATGGGTAAAGGCCCGTTTTGTTGCCTTGCAGTTGGGATGTCTCCTGAGCAGAGCTGTGAGTGCCAGGCTAATGAGGCCTGGTGTCCCGGGGGCTCAGGGCTCACGCTCGGCTGCTCCGCACCCAGGAGGGAATTGCAGAGCTCTGGAAGGTTTTTCTCTCATTTCCAGGCCTCTCCTCTGTGCAGATCCCGGGAAATGAGAGGTTCACACTATTGCCTTTCCCCAAGGATGAGAGTAAAGGAGGCCCCACCACCCCCATTCAGCATCAGGGTGAACTTTTGTGGCTCCGATGGATTTTAGGCATTTATGTTCCGTGGAAACTCAGGGTCTAGAGAGTTAAATCATAAAGGGGTGGCTGAGGGAGCTGGGGGGACTCAGCCTGGAGAAAAGGAGGCTCAAGAGGAACCTTCGTGCTCTCAGCAACTCCCTGACAGGAGGGGCGAACCAAGTGGGAGTTGGTTTCTTCTCCCAAGCATTGAGCAACAGGACAAGAGGAAACAGCCCCAGGCTGTGCCAGAGGAGGTTCAGGTTGGACATGAGGAGGAATTTCTTCATGGAAAGGGTTGTTAAACATGGGAAGGGGCTGCCCAGGGTGGTGGTGGAGTCCCCATCCCTGGAGGTGTCCAAGGAGTGACTGGCCATGGCACTCAGTGCTCTGGGCTGGGGGACAAGATGGGGATGGGTCACAGGTTGGACTCGAGGATCCTGGAGGTCTTTTCCAGCTCAGAGGATTCTGTGATTCTGTGAAGAAGGGTAGGAAGGATCTCATCTGCAGGGAGGACACAAGGTCATGTTATCCATGGGTGTCTCTAATCATGGACACTGAGCCTGAGCCCCAAATTGGGTGTTAGAGGGCAAGGGGAGGAGACACCCTTGAAAGGTTCCTGTTCCTCCTAAGGCTTTGTTGAGAGAGGAGATAGACTAGAAATCAGTGTGGATGTGGGAAGTGAATGAATGGGGTGTCTGAGAAGGAACGACAAAAGTGGGTTTCAAGTGAGAACGTGGGAAGGCATGGTGCAGACAGGGGATGGCTTTGCTTTGTGGGCAGGTTGCAAGTCTTAAAACTTAAATATTTGAGTTCCCAGGAGGTGTTTGAGGATAAAATAGTAGGGGAAGAGAAGAGCACGGCAGCTCAAGGTTGTTATAATATCCAGTGTCATTGGCTTGTCCCAGGGAGATGATACCTTCTGAAAGGGTTTGGGAACAGTAAAAAAATTAATTAAAATGTTTGTTGAAGGAGAGCAAGGCTCACTTTCCTAACAAATAATTGCAGGGATTCAGGAGAAACTTCCAAATGCAGCTTTGAAAAGAAGTATTTAAGAGAGCAAGTCCCAGACCACTGGAGGTTTGGGTGTTGTCTGCTCCAAAAGTGCTGTTTTCCAGAGGCTGGATGGAGGTCCCTAGAGGGGTGTGTGTGCATCCCTGTGTATTTTGGAAATCATGCACATTTTTGAGGTGACTTTGGTGTGATTGTCACGTGGAAGGAGCTTGAAGTTCTTAGATACCTTCTGCAGTGGGACAGGTGGGGATCGTGGACTCGTGGAATATCCCTAGTTGGAAGGAACCCACAAGGATCATCCAGTCCAACTCCTGTCCCTGCACAAACACCCCAGCAATCCCACCCTGTCCCTGAGAGTGTTGTCCAAACACTCCTTGAGCTCTGGCAGCCTTGGGGGGCCGTGACCACTGCCCTGGGGAGCCTGTTCAGTGCCCATCCACCCTCTGGATGAAAAATGGGTGCTCGGTCGTAACCTCGTGGCTCCAAAAGATCTTGGAGCTCTCCCAGCAGCTGAGCTCAGCGCTCCCCCTCTCAACCCGAGCGTTCCACGTGCCATCTCCATTTGGAACGTGCCATTCATCTGGAGCATTCATTAACATGGGGAATTATTTGCATATTATTAGCATTATTACACGGCAATAAAGCTGCCGCTAGTTCTCCCCTCCCTCCGTGTCTCCTTCATCACCCGCCTTTAGAAGGCTCTGAATCCCGTTTGTTGTGTGACAAACTGGGCTGATAAATCTCGTTACTCACTTGAATGGCTGGGAGACTTCACTGCACATTACTGAATTTGGTGAATTATGTAATAAATGCATAATTAAAATTAAACCCGGAGCCTCTCGTGGAACCTCAGAAGACGCCGCTCGTGATGAATTGCAGGGAGACGTACACGGGGCATTGAAATTGAGGCCTAATTATTTGGATTTATTTTTAATCAATATTTAATGTGCTGTACCTATAAGGTCCTGCAGGCCCACAGCAAATCTGCTGTTGTGGCTTTGCTGGAAAGCACAGAAAGTGTGTGTGGACTAAGATGTTTGTTTTCACAGGGCTTTGAATTCTAACATTTGGTTACAGAAAAGAAAACTCCCCTGAGTACAAAAATTTCTTCAGCCAAGTGAAGCGGGGGGGGTGGGTTTTGCCCAAAGCTTTTCCCACTTGATCACCTTTGAATGTTGCCCAGAGAAACTGTGGATTCTCCGTCCTTGGAAGTGTTCAAGGCCAGGTTGGATGGGGCTTGGAGCAACCTGGGATAGTGGAAGGTGTCCCTGCCCATGGCAGGGGGTTGGAAGTGGTTGTGGTTTGTCAGAGGAGAATCACAACAACAGGAAATAATTTACTCTGATGAAGCTCTGATTGGTTTTTCACTCATCAAACTGGCATCAAAGTCACCTGAAAACCTTCCCCATGTTGTATTTCTGCCGTCCTGGTTCTTACTCCAGGGCAGCTGCCCAAACTGCTGTCAGGTCTAAACTTGAGATGTGCTAAAAAAACTTCTTTTCTCTGCGCTTAAAACGGGCTTTAGAGATATTTCCTTGGGAAAGAGGAGCGATGTTTTGAAGGCAAACAGCCTGCAAAGTTTAATTTTGAAAGGTTTGTCTCTTAAGTAGGAAATTGAATAGAAGGGATTTGATTCCCTTAAATCCCCGATTCTAGAGAAAGCAGCTTGAGATCTCAGTAAGAGAATTAACACACGGGTTAAACTCACAATAAGAAGCAGGACTTGGAAAATGTCTATTCAGATGCCGTTAAGGAAATAATAGGATTAGTTCTTGTCGTGTCAGTGTGGATTCCTCAAAGTGGGGGCTGTGTTGGTGCCCTGGCCGTGAAATTGGGGACAATGCCAATAAAGATGACTTTTCTTGGAGGCAATTCCTTTGAATGTTTAAGCTGCTGCTTGTGTACACGCACAGCACAGGTAATTCAGGGTGACAAATAAGCCACTGATAATCCTCCCCCCTCCCCAGATGGGTTGTTTGGGACCGAGACCAAAAATCAGGAATATACTGTGGCAGCATGTAAACAAATTTTTATTCATTTCTATCACCTGTTGGAAAGATACTGTTTATTTCCATTATATGTATGTGTGTGTATATATATATATGTATACACTATTATATATACATATATATATATATATAAATATATGTACTATTTTACTATACATTTCCATTATATATTATATTATACTATATGCTATACTATATATAAACATATATTCACTTACAGTATTCCATTTTATACTATAAATTTCCATTATATGGTTTTGATAAGCCATGTGTTCCAATGTGTATATATTTTAATGTGTACACTTATATCCATCATTTAAGATGAAGCATTTTTGTCTCTTATTTATTTATTTATTAATGTTTGTTTATTTATTTATTTATTTTCACCATTATTTTCCAGTCCAACAAACCATTCTTTTCAGTTTCCTGTGCCCGCCATTCCATAATCATCCCATGTGTGTCTTTGTTTTTAGCTTAAACCAGAGAGAACGAGGCGTTAAGGCAGAATTGAGGTTGTTTTGACTTCACCTGGTCCCGTCATAGAAGGTGCTGTAGGAGATCAACGTTCTGGAAAACTTCCAACAAAAGGGTAATGAGAAAAACAAAGGCTCCTGTTGTGCTCTCACTCCTCTGCTTGTCTTCAGACGCAGCTGCTGCTTCTCTGCAAAGCTCCTCTTTACTTTTCTGTGGGGTTTCCGTGGTGTGTAAAGTCCTGGGTATCTTGTAATGCCCTAAAATGTGCTTTGAGAGCAGAGGGGAATTTTACCAAGCAAAAAAAACCGCTGAGAAGTTGTGGATTCCACATCCCTGGAAGTATCCAAGGCCAGGTTGGAAGTGGAAGGTGCCCCTGCCCATGGCAGGGGGGTTGGAACGAGATGGGCTTTAAGGTCCCTTCCATCCCAAACCATTTAGGTGATTTGAGTTGTCATTAAAGGACTGAGAATGAAATTAAGTTTTGTCTAGGCAGGGAATTGGCAAATGCACCAAATCTGCCTGTAAATTCTCCCCACTGGAAGCCACAAGGCAGGCACGTGCTGGGGCTGGTATTTCACATCAGAGCTTTCCCGAGGGCTCCTTGAGCTGCAATTTAAAGGAGCCAAAATAAAAAAAAAAAAAAAAAAAAAAAAAAAAAAAAAAAAAAAGGCTTCACAGATTGGTCTATTACCAGAGAGTATTTTCTGTGTTTTGGCAGAGGGTTTATTTAGGGGGTGTGAGTGAAGCTTTTGAGAGAAGTCTCTTCACATTTTGAAGTGCCAGACTCGTGCCTCTAACGCTGCCTGCTCCGAGTCGCAGCCAAATCCGGGCTCGTTCCAGCTCGAGTGTGTGTTTTAGCAGAGTGTTACTCCACACAAGAGTAATCTTTTAAAGCTGAGTAATCTTACAGTTCTGGAGGACAGCAAAATATCACATTACTGAGCTTGCAATTCAGGATTTTAAAGAAAGGAGTTAATTTAGAAGAGCTGCACTGTGTGCACGTACATATATGGGGATATGTACCATATATTTTTCTCATCCCTGGACTGCTCTTGCATGAAATCCTTCATTCTGCTCTCCTCTGAGCTGTTCCTTTCTTACTCACTGGCAGGAGTTGCTCTCTTCTAACCGGAAGTGCTTATCCATATTTTAAGTACATGTCTTTTTAAATGTGTCCATTTAAATTAATATTTAACAGAGCAGAGCCATCTCTGTGGTGTAATGTGTCCACTTACGGCTGATCGTTATTTGAGGTGATTGAGCCTCCTTGTACTTAATTTTTTTGTGCTTTTTATCCAGCAGGATCATTTTTAGATGAGCTGATTTACACCTCAAAGCAGGCTATTTCTCCTGGAGTCCTGGGTTTCTCAGTTAGCAGCATCCTTCCAGCAGCACAAATGGTGCACTGAGTGTGGAAGGATGTCTCATCCCAAGCTAAATATCCCAATTCTTGTCCCAGTACAAGGTGGAGCTGCCAATCTGTTGGTACCCACTTGCACAACGTTTTTTTAAAGCCTTTGGAAAGGTTAATTTACCCTGCTGGGATTTTTTTATTCCAGCTGACTTCATTTATCTGTCTCTTCGCTGCAGAGGTGCTCAGGCATTGGAACAGGCTGGAGCCACCATCCCTGGGAGTGTTCAAAAGATGTGGCACTGGGTTTAGGGGTGGCCTTGGCAGTGCTGGGGACAGTTGGACTTGATGATCTCAAGAGTTTTTTTTCCAACCTAAAGGATTCAGTGATTCTAAGGGAGGTGTCCAGTTAGAGCTACTTGGCTCCCTCTCAGTTGACAACACTCAGTGTGTCCTCTCCTAGAAATCCTTCTTTTAATTCCAGCTTTGACTGGATACCCACCTCAGACAGCAGACTTTTGGTGGGATGAGCTCCCCCACCCCATCAGGGGTCCTTGAACATCCCCTGGTGCCTCTGGCATTATATTCCCTGGGTGATAAGCTACAATATCCCACTGAGAGCTGCAAAACTTCCCTGCTGCACGGGATGGCCTTGGCCATGGAGTAGGGAAGCTGGTTTGCTGATTCCATACAGTCCCAGAATGTTTTAGGTTGGAAAGGAGCTTAAAACTCATCTAGTTCCAACCCCCTGCCATGGGCAGGGACACCTTCCACTAGACCAGGTTGCTCAAATGCAACACCTCGTCCTGGATCTGAACCCTCTGACCAGTAGTTCTAGAATTTTTTATTTTGTCAAGCAAAAACTGTATTCCTTCAGTTTTGCTGAATTTTTTTCCACTAATAAATAGGAATGTGAGAGGACACCACATGGAAAAATACACCTGTTGTACTTAAAAGCAGGTTTTAGTCAAGTGGTTCAGTTCCTGTTGGTCTAAAGCATTATTTCAATTTTTATTTCGCCATTTAAGCTTTAATTGATAGAAAATGGTTTAGTTAATATTTGAGCATTACTATTTATTTAATTTTTTTCTTTTCTTCTTTTTTTTTTTTAGGTCTGAAAGGTTTTTATGGGTGGTGAGATGTTCCAGTGCTTGGATCAATGTGTTTCATTAAATGTTGGGAAGGAGAGGATTCATTTTTTGTTGTTGTTTGCTTGGGTTATTTTAAATTTCTGTAATTGTTAGTCAGCAGAGCTGACCCAGGTGAGGGGATCATGTAAAGGTTTGCATTGGAAGAGACTTTAAAGCTCATCTCATTCCACCCCCTGCCATGGGCAGGGTCATCTTCCACTATCCCAGGTTGCTCCAAGCCCCATCCAGCCTGGCCCTGGACACTTCCAGGGATCCAGGGGTAGCCACAGCTTCTCTGGGCAACCTGTGCCAGGGCCTCCCCACCCTCACAGGAAAGGTTTTCTTCCCAATATCCAACCACATACAAATAAATGTGCACAGAGCAAATAAAAACCATCCCAGGCAGGAAAAGATCCAGAGGAGCTGCCACAGAAAGCAGAGGGAAGTGGGAGGGTTTGGCCAACGAGTTGTTCAAGCTCAGTTGATCTCAGAAGTGGGATGGAAACTGTGATATCCTCATGGACCAAATGAGGCTTCTTTTAGCAGAGAAGCTTCCACAAAAGAAACTGGGACTTTTGACAAGGGCACGCAGCGATAGCACAAGGGGGAATGGCTTTAAACTGAAGGAGGGGAGATTTAGATGAGATTTTAAGAAGAAAGCCTTCCCTAGGAGGGTGGGGAGGCCCTGGCACAGGTTGCCCAGAGAAGCTGTGGCTGCCCCATCACTGAAGTGTCCAAGGCCAGGTTGGAGCAACCTGGGATAGTGGAAGGTGTCCCTGCCCATGGCAGGGGGCTTGGAACTGAATGATCTTTTTGGCCCCTTCCAACCCAAACCATCCTGTGACTCAGTGATTCCATAAGAGCTTGTCAGAAGTAGCTCGGCTCTCCAGGATGTTTAACGTGCTTTGTTCTCACTGAGCCCCTGCTGAACCCTCGAAAAGAGCGGGGCTTTAACTCCCAGCCTGGTGTGTCTCCCGAGTTCAGACATCTCCGCAGAAGATTAAGCAAGTTAGAGAAATTAGCTTTGATCCCTTTCTGCCAGCATAGGATTATTCCACATCACGCTGGGTTTGAAGTTCATGTCTAATCCAGTTTTACACGTCTCGGGGGACTCGGCTTCTTACGGCTCCGTCTGCGCCGCGGCCTCGTGGTGCAGCCTCTGATTTAGTGCTGCTCACTTGATACTGAGATTCAAGTTGCATTTCCATTACTGCCTCCCATTTCATCCCCGTGCCACATACATAATGTCCCTGCTTTGTGGGATGTGGCTTCCAAAGGCATATGGATCGTTATCCCTGTGCTATCTTAGATTCTCACTACACCCTCAGTCAAGGTATATATGTATAGATAGATAGATATTTAACCTACCTTCTTGCAAACAACTCTGGGTGTTTTGTGTGTAGGTTTTCAAGCTGTAGGACATATTTACCTACAAGAAAGGTTTGTAGTGTCCACCTTGGACGGAAACAACTGGTGTGAAACGGGATTACAAGAGCCACGTGTGCGGAACTAATGCTGAGCAAGGCAAAGAGGAGGCTCCTGTTAACTGTTTTCCAGAGGTTTAATCATCAATCCTGAGGGGTTTTTTTTTTAAATGCACTACGTTTTATTTATGATGTTTGTGAACCCATAAGTTTTCTTTTTAATAAATGTGTATTTTCAAGGCTGAAAAAATCCTCGTCTGTGGTCCTTTGAAGTGCCTTTTTTACAGGCATTCAGCATTGCAAACATTTTCTCCTCACACACACCAGGGATCAGGGTAACAGAGCAGTGGAGCAGTTCAGCCCATGAGCTATTTTAAGTCCCCAGACGATGCATTTAGAAATGACAGAGTGTTTTGCTGGACTGACAAAAGCTTGGTCAGGGCTGTGCTGGGTTTGCACCCACATCGCTCCCAGGGACCCTTCAGGAACTGCCTTCTGGAGCTGAAAGTACTGGATAGGTCAGAAATACAGTTTATACACCAAAAATGTGTTTTAAAGGTCAAGAATTAAAATTTCCAGTCTCTAAGTGTGTGTCTATTTTAGTGGTAAGCCCAAGAGATCCCAAAAGCAAATCCTCCTCCCTCCCTGTTCCTTCATTTCATACACTCGTTGTAGTAGTATTTCATGTGACTTAAAGAAAAGAGTGCAGCATTCACAGAAGACAGAGAGTTTTAAACACTCTTGTAGCCTGGATGGCAGAGAATATCCTTGTTTTTCCATACTGAGTTGCTTGGACAGCCAGTTCCTTCGATGGCAGCAGCTCACTCAGAGCCCAAATCCACCCCAATGACATTTAATCACAGGATCACAGAATGGCCTGGGTTGGAAAGGGCCTTAAAGATCATCTCATTCCAACCTCCTGCCATGGGCAGAGAACCATCCTCCTCCCCCAAAGCTGTTCTTGGCAGAAAAGTGCCATTAAACCTGACGGGAGGCAGCATTTTTAGGGATTTCACATCACCAGCGCAGCAAAGACGGGTTGGGGATTGCCCTCCTCCATCCTAAAAAAGGCTTTAACCCAGACCAAGGAGCAACTCCTATAAAAACCCAAGATGTTTTTAAGCAAATCAGTGCTGGAAGGTCACAAGGCTGTCAGAGTGACTTATCTCCTCTCCCTCGGAAATGGCGTTTCTGGGAGGTTGTGGCGGATGCTGCGCACGCAGCCGTCTGGGCTGGATCCTGCGGAAGGGCTTTGGGAGATCCATCCCATGCCCCACTTGGTTTAAAATGTTTGCCTTATTTCTTTTTTTTTTTTTTTTTTTTTAATTTATTTATTGGGTTTTCTTCTCGTCACTGTAGTAAAATTCTTTTTACCACCCCTTGGGTATCACCTGCTTTTATAATCTTTCTATAATTAAATTTCCAAATCCGCCTGCGAGCTGGTGATGAGTTAAAACCTCGCAAACGGGACCCTTTGTGTGTTAACCTATATTTATGTTACTTTTATTCCTTCTGGCAGTAATTATCCTGGCTCTAGGCCTAGGATTAATCTATAAGATGCTGAACATGCTTGAATTTTTTTTTTTTTCCCCTTCTCTGTGGCAAACTCATCATATGCAGAGCAGAGCATTATTAAAACCACTTCCTATGAAGTAGTTTAACTGTTACTCCTCTTAAATGATTCCCAGGAGAAGCCAAGGCAGAGGTTAATTGATCCTGTGCCATGGATAGGGAAAGGAGGAGTGATTCAGCCTCTTGTCATGGAAGTGCTTGGCTGCTTCTGAGCTTGATGATGCTGCACAGCTAAGAGACCATCACCCCTCGCTGGTCTGTAGGACTTGGGGGGCCTGGATGGAAAAAGGTTGGGTGTGTTGGACAGAGGAAGGGGCTGGAGCACCAGGAGCAGCTGAGGGAGCAGGGGGGCTCAGCTTGGAGAAAAGGAGGCTCAGGGGGAACTTCTGGCTCTCTACAGCTCCCTGAGAGGAGGGGGGAGCCAAGTCTGTCCTCCCAGGAAACAAGTGAAAGGACAAGAGGAAATGGCCTTAAGTTCCCCAGGGGGGTTTCCAGATTGGATATTGGGAACAATTTCTTCCCCAGAAGGGCTGTCTAGCCCTGGCACAGCTGCCCAGGGCAGTGGTGGAGTCTCCATCCCTAGTGGAATTTAAAAGCCATGTGGATGTGGCACTTGGGATCATGGGTTACCAGTGGCCTTGGCAGTGGTGGGTTGACTTATTGGGCTTCTCCCTTTGTGGGTTGGCCGGGAAATGAGGCTGGGAAAGACTCGGTGCTGTTTCTGGGCTGCTGGTGGATCATCATCCTTTTAGGGGGGTGTTCCCTCGTGGCTGAGCTCCCCTTGGGCACACACAGCCATCTCCAAACAGTGCTCAAGGTGGCCTCCACAGGTCTGTAACATGATTCTTCAGCCTTCCCGGAGCCCTGGCTCGATGCAGCTCCCTGGGCTTTGCTGCTGTGTCAGGAGCAGTGCCGGGGGCTGCAGCAAACGTTGCCCATTGGGAGTTTTTCCTTAGAAAACCTTTCTGGAGTCATTGATTTGCAGCGTGTCGGAGCCAAATTTAAGCATGGAGCCACATAGATCTGGATTTAGCCGTGCTGGCTGTTTTCCCCGGGAAGGAGGGATCACGGGGATGGATTTGATTGCCTGGGAAAATTAGTGTTGATTTCAGTGAAGAATATTTTATTGCAGTGTTTGCATTGGCATTGTCTTCACGGGATAATGGCTGAGAGTTTCCTGTGTGCTTGTGTGTATTTAATGATTTAATCTATTTCTTCTGAATACTGGCTTGGGCCAAAAAAAAAAAAAAAAAAAAAGAAAAAAAAGGTCTGGCTGCCTCCTCTTAATATCCCATCATATCCCAAATAAAATCCCTAATCCCAAAGGTGGACTTGCAATTAAAAAGAAAAAAAAATAATATTGGAAAGTATTGAAACTGAATAATACGCTCTAAAATAGACACTGGCTGAGGTGTTGCTTCAGTTGTGGAAGATGACGAGGTTGTAGTGCTTTCAAAACTTGGGATGCTGTTAGAGAATCATGGAATGGTTTGGGTTGGAAGGACCTTAAAGATCATCTTCCAACCCCCTGCCATGGGCAGGGACACCTTCCACTGTCCCAGGTTGCTCCAAGCCCCATCCAGCCTGGCCTTGGACACTTCCAGTTATGGGGCAGCCACAGCTTCTCTGGGCAACCTGTGCCAGGGCCTCCTCACCCTCCCAGCCAAGAATTCCTTCCCAGTATCCCATCTATCCCTGCCCTCTGGTAGTGGAAAGGTATTCCCCATTGTCCTGTCCCTCTAGACCCTTGTCCCAAGTCCCTCTCCAGCTCTCCCGGAGCCCCTTTAGGCACTGGAAGGGGCTCTCAGGTCTCCCTGGATCCTTCTCCAGGTGAACACCCTTAGCTCTCCCAGCCTGTCAGTTGTATTTATTATATTCATTTTATTTATTATATTTACTACCAGCCAGTTATTTCCATGCCTTGGTGTGGATTTCTCAGTCTGGGTTTAACCTCACTGGTTTGAAGCTGGTGGCAGCTCAGGGGGTGCTCAAACTTCCTTCTGGCACATTTAGGGCACTGAACAGCCCATGGTCACCTGCTCAGAGAGGGCAGGTTGGAATTTTCCCCTGCCTACAGCCCTTGGGAGGCTGAGGATTCTGCCATGATATTTAGAGTACACAAACAGCCTTTGTTTGTCCAAGTGCAGTTTTCC